TATGAATAAACAGGGGTTTATTAATCCGGGGTCAACATTACCGTGATAAGGTTTGCCCAGGTAATTCTGAAAGAAGGTGAAGCACCTGGTTTCTGGAGATCGGGGAGCTCGCCATGGGAAAGAAACCAGGAAAACCACCCATTTTGGGGGCCCCTAAAAATTGATACCTCCGTTTTAACGGAGGTGGCAACTGAACCACAGTGGAATCACCAAAGTCCACCCTCTAATTCGCAGAGTAAAAAGGGACTTATGAATTACAGACATTCGATCATGGCTTTGTTGGGTGGCTATTTTGTAGCTACCCTGTTGTTGTTTGTTTCTTCTTTTTATTTCTGGTTTAATTGGAAACCAAAGCCACCTTTTTTGGGCGTCCCCTAACACAACCACGTTGGCTTTTACGTATCGCACATACCAGACCACTGCTTCTTCCCCAGCGGATGCCATATTTAAGTTGAAGCTCTGGTCCGGAAAGGGTTTGAAAAGGTCACAGAAACTGGCCTTTGACATCTTTGACCCAAGTGGAAGCATCCATGGGTGAGACCGTTGCGATAGCAACATTCAATACCAGAGCATAGGAATCCGTTTTGGTTGTTTCGGTAAAACATAGGCCCTGGTTGCCCAGGTTATGTCAGGATCTACCAGGGCCATCTATTTTCCAAAAGGACTCCTGTTTCCCAGAGATTGTCCATTGTCAATTGCTGATTGTTCTTTGCCGTGAATTTTGGAACCCTCTAGATCGGTTGGTGTGACAAGAAACTAAGCGTTTGCCCGCACTTGCACTTGATCATCCGTTGACGATTCATCTCCTGCAACAAATCAATTGGAACCAGGAAAGGGGTGGGCGCCCCTTGATGAGATTGGGCCGCCTCCTTTTTTTCAGAGTTAACCCCCCTTTTGCAGGTAACTCCCCGTGGGTTTCGGTGGATGCCAACTCAATACTGCAAGTAAACCAACCACAAGTACCAAACCACGGTAAATTGCGGTTGGTTAGACGGCTTCCTTTTTCCCTTTGCAATACGGAATCAGGGTATCCACCCTACCCCTGCTTTTCGGGCGACGAAATCTGAACAAAATATCTTTTCATAAGCTGAACCACATGAATGTCTCTCAAGCACAAAACCGATATTTTGGAGACCCTATCACCTATCTTTTTTGGTCATGTTTCGCGTTCCAACACGGACATCTTATTGTTTGAGGTCCAAGGGCAAGTCAGAGTTTTGGGGTGTGGAGGTGTGTTCAATGCGATATCCACCTGTAATTTGGCTTTGCGCTTTCTAATGTTGGCAGCCATGTTTTGTTTAGATGCTGGGCTAAAGCGCCTGGCAAGTTGGCAACCTTCCTGCTTGAGCTGACGAAGGAATGTGATAGGGCTGACCACAAGGGGATGTATCGTATATATATATATATATATATATTTTTCACACAACTTTGTTTTGTTCCCCTTTTGGTCGTGTCAAGTCAAGTTGTAATGGTTGGTCCATCGGTCTGGTTGTGTATGCTTGATACGGTCCTACGCAATTAGAACGGGGCAGTGGGCTACTGTGAACTCCATTTAGGCAAGATGGGAGCAAGCGTTTAAAAGGCGAATGTTATCCCCGGATCAATAACCCCTGGTTGATTAATAGGGGGTGTCCCCTTCTAGTGGGGATTCATCACTTTCGAAGGGAACACCCCCCTAATACTGGGACGGGTTTATTAGTCCTGGGTAAACATTTGTTGTTCCCGCTTCATGCTTAACTCAGCAACCCAGTACAGATTTGCGCTTGGCAGTGCCACAGAATTCAAGCGAATGACCCAACGGTCCATGCGCTTTGGCTGACGTGAAAGACATGTCGCTACATGGGGATGAATCAACATTAAACCACTAGGAATTGGACCGCAGGTTTTAGTCCATGTTTCCATTTGCCAGTGCTCCATTTGGGCTACCCATTTTTGACCCACACCCACATGTTGTCAGACGATCTGATCGATCACGACAATTTCGACCAAGATGCAAGATGCATCATGTCTTACGTTTTTGCCACTAGCGTAGTGTACATATTTGAGGTCGCCAAGGTCGACTTCATTGAGGGAGTGGCACGCTTCACTATTTCAAGCCACGGAGAGTGGCAAGCCCTTGTTGCAGTGCTTTACCGAACTTACCCGAGATTTTGTTGCTCAGTTACCCAAAGCCGACCTGCCCTTTGTTTCCCGCCTTTAGTCCGCAATGCATATCCCAAACTTCTGGGTCCTTTGGGCAACTGAGAAAATAGATAGTGTTGAAATTCGGCATCAAACCTGTGGTGATGTTTGCATTGACACTGAAAGATGCACACATGTAAAGTTATTTCTTGGCAGGCAATCGACTTCTTGTGCTTGGAAACTCAACCTGCCAACTTATGCAGGTTGTTTGGCAGTACTGAGTTTTGCCAAATACCTTTGCGCTTTCTTGCGACTTGCAAGGAGAGCAAAACAAATGGTGACGTGTGATAAGATGCAGACAGAAGCTGAGCAGACATTAGCCAATATTACCTTGGTGGCTCCCAGCCATCCCCTTCGCTTTTTAGCGTTTAGTGGTTGGATTTCCATTTAACCCACAAGTTAGTCACTTTCAGATCGGGGGACCAGAAAACGGACAGCCCAGTTACTTGGAATATGCCGCAGCAATCTGGCCAGCTTTCGATCACCGTCACTGCTGTCCATAGCCCAGCGCAGTAGCGGGAAGGGCACGCTAGGCCTTCCTTTGGAATGAAAGCGCTGACAGAAAAGTTGCATGCTCAAGACACACAACCTCCATCCCAACAATGGCGTGTCTTTTTGTGCCCGTCCCATTTGTTTGGTGGTTGTTGAAAGGGGAATCAAAAGGAAAACCACTTGTGTGTGTGTGTGTGTCTTTTTTTTGGGGGCTTCTCCACAATAAAACACCTAGCAACGAGGAAACAAAGGGAAGCCCGCCCGAGAAAGGTGGCAAATTCCTGGCCGCGCTGGTGGCTGGCATAAGCGAAGCGAAAACTAGGTCCCCCAGCTAGGTGCCCTTTCTCACCCAACTTTTTTGGTTTGGAGGGTTTCCCTACTGAAATAGACAGAAAAAGCGTACCCTTATTCTAACCTCTCTACTGGAGACGTAGAAAAGGAAGCCCAAGATCTGTTGGGACCGATTCCTATGTTGAGAAACCCACATTCAATTAGGCTAGGGATGCGGGCGAATTTGACGGGATGGGTGTGACGACTCCGGGCTTGCAGACGGCTCTCATCGGGTTGTGACCGAATCGAGACCAGATGGGTTTGGAACTTTTGGCTTTACCCGTGGCTCGTCTTTTTTTTGGAGTTGGTGTGGTCTCACAGGAAAACCGAAGGGGTCATCGAGCACTAGTTGATTCTGTTTCTAAGGGCTAGCTTAGCACCTGAGAGGGGGTCCCTCCAAGGGAAACATTGTTTCTTTGGTACTTCCCCACAAGTGACATGTTAGTCAGTGCAAGAAAGGGCATCAAAATCCTGCCCATCATCTGAGAGTTTCCCGTTGCTGAGTCACACTCTCAACTGTTTGTTGGCTCGTTTCATCATTTTGGAGGCTCACAAAGTACAGCATGGGGCGGTCCTTCATGGGTTTTGCAGATTGATTCATATCATTTTTTGTTGGTGGTCTCTCAGCTGTGTGTGGTCAAAAAGCAATCAAAGAATTGAGACACTGGAGCCACGATGACCTGGCTTTGGGAGTGGGACGCATGCTGATTGCACCTGGTGCCACGCAGCCCTGAATGCTGCAAGCACATGAGAAGGTGTCAATTTCACAACTGGCGAGACCTCGCAACTGGCACAGCAATTTGTCAAGACACGCCCCTTACAGTCACTCACAGTGTGACGAGCCGGATTGTGTTCCAAAAGTCACGCTTGAAAATGGAGGGGTTCCTTCTCATTTTCCTTTAAGCACCTCTCCTCAAAAGGGATCCTCAGATTGGACACCCTGTATCGAAATCACACACACACACACACAGTTCCTTCTGATCATGACTGGGTTTTTGTTTGCAACCACATTCTGATCCAAAAACTCCTTTATAGTAGATGACGCTCCGTTTAAATTGCACCCTATTTGGATATTTGTTTGCTTGCACCTGACGGTTCTTTGCTGTCAACGAAAGCACATCATGGCGGCTGGTCTCCCGTCATGGTCTCCTAGCTGGGCACAGGCAGGTTTTTGAGCTGAGTCGTCTGAGTCGCCACGTTGTAAGTACCGATGCATTTTTTTGTGGGGCTGTTGATGGACTAGCTGGTGGTGGGGGGTTGGAAGGGAGCCGTTAGGGAGTAGCTGGCTTATTGCGGATACCCTTCCGGAAACAAGTCCATTGAAATCGAAAAGGACAAGGAATATGGAACCCACAGAAATCATCATTTGGTGTTCCATGTTAGTTTTGTTTGGGGTACCACTGTACCACAGACAGAGACCAATCGGGATGACAGATCTATGCGCTCAGTTCAGGAGATCCGTTGTAAGGGAGCTAAAGCATTTCATGGAAGAGTAGGCCTGGCAACAGGAGAAAATTTGGCATTCCCAACATTTCCATATAACCGTTCTGTGTTTTGGCTGGGGGGTTGGTCTGACTGAGTGGTTCCATCCAGCACTTTGTTTGGCTCAGAGTGCCAGGTGAATCAGTCAAGAGCTGTCATGTACCTGTCCATCCCACACTGGAAGTTAAAAGGAACAGCCCAAAACAGCCTGGTTTGCCATTCCTACCTGGCGGCTCCCAGCTATCCCGTTAGCCGTTTAGCTTCTATTGTGTTTAGTGGGGATTTCCATTTAACCCACTAAAAGTGAGTCACTTTTAGCGGGGGATCTGAAAACGGACAGCCCAGAGATCATTTATTCTTTGCACCCCGCCCCCCGGGGTGGTGTTCCTTGGGTCTCCGACCATGGACCCGTGATCCACAAAAAAACACATCAATCAGACACCCGCTCGAGAGGTTGCTGACCATACCACCCCAAGAAACAAAATGGGGTCTTTCGTCCATGGCAAGTCTGGGAACAATCGCTAATTAGGGATCCTTTGGAAATCAACAGTTGGTTGGGGTTCAAGTAACCACCTGGAGTCTCCATGACCCCATTATTTTAGGTAATGACCCCATTTTTAAAGGGTCAGAAGCAGACTCTAGAAACCAATGAGGCATTGTTTCCGATCGATCATTTATCCCCTGTTGGTTTTAAAGGGAATCTATCACTACTGGAAATATGTTTTTGATTCTTTTTCCAGGGGACGAACAAGCAAAGGGAGGTAAGTCATTGTTTCCAATCAATCAGGCTCCTTCCTCCAGCTTCGCCTCCGGCCCCGCTGGCTCTCCCGAATGGCCGACGATGGCCTTCTGCGGTTTCATGTCTCTTTGCCCAGCGGCCGATGTGAAGTTGTGTCGCTTTCGTCTGGTAGCTCAGCTGTTCACAGCGAATCGACCTGAAATGACCTTTTGCTTCTTTTAGTAGAGGTCCCAAAACTCGCACCTTTTAGGTTTTCCCTTTTTTGGGTGCCAAGTCTTGAGTAGAGGTCCCAACAGGTGGTCTTTTGGGCAAGTGAGGTAGCACCATTGGAGATTTGAAGCTAGCAGCTCAACAAGCGTTGGCGCGGGGCTTTCTGAGATTGGCCGGGCCGGATGGGCGAGTCCTGGAGCTGGGTGACACGGTGGAAGGTGCCGGGCTGGGGGATGGCGATAGCATCACGGCCGTTGCCTGGAGGACGAGACTGGCCGCGACGCAGAGAGCCTTTGCCCTGTGGGGCGTGGGAAGCGATAGTGTGGCAACCTGGGGTGATGCAGAATGTGGTGCTGACAGCAGCAGGGTTCAGGATCGGCTGAGGAATGTGCAGCAGATTTATGGCACAGACCGAGCATTTGCGGCGATCTTGGAGGGTGGACATGTCATTACATGGGGTGATGGATATGCTGGTGGTAGCAGCAGCAGCGTGCAGCATGAACTCCGAAACGTTCAGCAGATTCAAGCCACAGGTGCTGCGTTTGCAGCGGTCTTGGCAGATCACAGTGCTGTGACATGGGGCGATCCAGAGGCTGGTGGTGACAGCACCAGGGTCCAGGATCAGCTTGGAAACGTTCGAGAGATTTCTGGCACAAAGCGTGCTTTTGCTGCTCACTTGCCCAAAGCAAAGCGACCATTGAACATTGATTTTGTTGGTCCATGTTTTGGTCATGGCCCCAAAAGATGAAGCTTGTATCTGGGCTCTTTGGGCAACTGAGGCTGCCATCTTGGGCGATGGGACTGTCGTCACCTGGGGCGATCCACTTGCTGGTGGCAACAGCGAAAATGTGCAGGATCAGCTAAGGAACGTTCAGCACATTTCTGCCACAGAGAGCGCTTTTGCCGCCATCTTGGCAGGAGGCGGTGTCGTGACGTGGGGTGATATATCTGCCGGGGGCGACAGCACTGTTGTCCAAGATCGGCTCAGGAACGTTCAGCAAATTTCTGGCACCGAGCGTGCGTTTGCTGCGATCTTGGAAGGCGGAAGTGTCATCACATGGGGCACACCAGAATATGGCGGCAGCTGTACCTTGGTGCCCATCCCCTCAGCTTCGTTTTTTGGTGTTTGGTGGCTGGGTTTCCCTTTGACCCACAAGTTAGTCACTTTCAGATCGGGGGATCTGACAACGGACAGCCCAGGCAGCTCTGAACTCCAGAACGTTCAAGAGGTCCACGCCACCGGCGCTGCCTTCGCCGCGATCTTGGCAGATGCTTCGGTGGTCACCTGGGGCAATCCGCGCGCAGGCGGCGATAGCAGCCAGGTCGCGCACCAACTGAAAGATGTGCAACGGATCCGAGCCACAAAATTCGCCTTCGCAGCGGTGACCACAGATGGCGACAGTGTGGTCACTTGGTGCAGGTGGCCATTTGCCCGTTGGAGATGTTTTTGTTTTTGCTTGCCATCCCCTTAGACTTGCACAAAAAGGAACCACCCCCCCAAGTGTTGGCCAGAAAAAGGCTATACTAAAAGCATGTGGTTTGCTGATTTACCATGACACACTTCCTGAGTTCGTGGACATTTCAGAACTTTTTGGGTCTGGACCATGTGGCAAACGAACAGTTCGGCCAGTCCACCCAGGAAGTGAGATCCGTTTCACATCTGCCAGCAAAAGTCGGCAATAACTTTGAGAGGAAATCGGAATCAGTTTCCAGTCAAAGAAGTCTTGCTGATTCCAGCTTCACATGAGCCAGAATCAAAACTCGGGTAGATGAAGGTTAGTAAGGGGCAGTCCCAGCCAGAAATAGTTGTGGATGTCCGCCTTCTTAGTTCTTGAAGCATGGTTCTGGGAAAACGACCATTTTACTACCAAGGGTGTTGAGCAAGTGACGTCACATGGCTTAGGTCACCTGGGGCCCGGGCATCTTCGGCGGCGACAGCCGCCGTGTTGCCTCGCAGCTGGTGAAGGTTCAGGAGATCTTCGCCACGGATGGGGCCTTCGCGGCCATGGCGGATGGAGCCTTGGTGGCCTGGGGGCATCCAGGTGAAGCTCGGCTGCAAGCGAGACCGAGCGGACTTTTTGCCAACGAAATCGGGGCTGTGGTTTGATCGCTCCTTGGGTGCATTTTGCCAAGGGATGGTAGGACTTGAAGACTTTTTGCCAACTAATGGGGTTTTCCGTATTAAACCACCAGAAGTTAGACTTTCAGCAGGGGAGCAGAAAGCAACCGAGGGGTGTGGTTGATCACTCGGGAAGTTTATCCAACCACTTCTGTGATGGGGAAGCTTCCAGCGAAAAAAATGGCTCAGTTGTCCAAAGCGAATCGACCTGAAATGACCTTTTGGCTTTCCCATGGTCCATGTTTTGTCATGGCCCCAAACAGTTAACCTTTTAGTTCCAGGTCCTTTGGGCAACTGAGCAGGGCTGTGGCTCAAAATGAAACAGGCGGGCTTACGCAGGTTTTGCTCCGTGTTTCCACTGTCCAGGGTTCCATTTTGGTACCGGCTTTTTGAGCCACAGCCTAAATCAGGGTTTGTGTTCTTTTTCCATCCACTTCTGTGATACAAGAGAATCTCCCTTTAGTCTGTGAAAAGCCCTTTTTGTTGTATCACAGAAGTGGTCTTGGAGTTTCCTGAAATGGCTGTGGGGTCAAAACCGTTTTGGGATCCCATTTTGGGGTTGTCCACCCACTGTAGTCGTGATTTTAGTGGGGATTGGGATCACTGGGAGTACGGAGTTTTTGCCCCATGGCCAAATCAGGGTTGTGGGATCAAGGGGTTTATCCAACCACTTCTGTGATAATTTCAAGGGAATCTCCGCTTTATGTAAGGGGTTAGTCTGTGCAAAGCCCCTTTTGTTGAATCACAGAAGTGGTCATTTCCCTCAGCCCTGCTCAAAATAGATCCCCTTTTGGTTTTCAAAGGGAAATCCAACGGACGCCAAGCTTTTGCCAAAGCGAATCGACCTGAAGCCACCTTTTGGTCTGCCTTAGGGTTCCCATTTTTAGTCCAGGCTTCCAAAAGAGCAAATCATCTTTGTGTCCAATCTGGGCAAGCGAGGAAGGCGGCGATCTCAAACCGATCTGGGAAAGGCTGAAGGAACTCTGAGTGAGGTGGAGAAAAGCTTTCTGGCCTGGCGATCTCGGCTGGGATATCTTATTTGGTAAGCAGAAAAACCCTGGGGGTCATTTGCAACCACTGCTTGCAGTTTGCCTATGGAAAATTGTCATTTTGACATTGCCATGTATTGTTAGCTTTTTCGCGTGTTTTTTTTTGCAGCTCCATCGAATTTAGGTCATGACCGCGGCGTTTGGGGCGATCGGGGTCAAAGTGTCCTTTGTTTGCTCATCCTTTTTCAGGTGCGCAATGTCTATTTTTCAGAAATCCCTTTTCCGACCTAGGGATCCTGGGTTTTCCTCGCGGCAAATCGGTCAAAACTACACCACTGAAGCACTGCAGGTGTTAGTCCTCAGACCATCATAACAAAAGCGGAATTCGCCAACCATTATGTTTCGGGGCAATAGCCAACCATTAGCCAACCATTTGTTTTGCCAACCATTATTTAAGGGTAGTCTGAGGGTCCAGTACCCTCCCACCCTTTCCCGTGGAACATGGCGTTGGGTCCGAAAGTTGGCCCGAAGAATGTGGGGCCTTTAAAGCGCCGAGTTTTTGTTTGACCCCAACCACCTCCGGGGTGTCTAAGGGAGGCGTCCATTTGTTTAAGAACCAAATTGTTGATTTTCCCCTGTGAGTCTTAAAACAAAATCGATCACTACTGGACTTTTTTTTTTATTTACCTGGAGTCTCTATGACCCTGAAAAATGGGGGTCATTACCCAAAATAATGGGGGCATTGACCCATTTTTAAAGGGTCATGGAGACTCCAGGTACTTGCCAGGGGGCAACTGGAAGGACACAGGTCCTCCATTGCGAGCCTTTGGGCGCCTCCGGGCGCCTCGGGGCGAGTCGCAGGCTCGGGTGCCCAGTACACCGCCCAGACGCAAGCTGAGCCAGGCGGAGCGCGCTTCGAGCTTCGAGCTTCGAGTCGAAGTCGGTGGAAGCCCAGAGGTCCAGTGGGATGCCCAACAGAAGACTTTTTGCCAACTAAGGGGGTGTGGTTTGATCGCTCCTTTGGTGCATTTTGCCAAGGGATGTTAGGACTTGAAGACTTTTTTGCCAACTAATGGGGTTTTCCGTATTAAACCACTAAAAGTTAGACTTTTAGCAAGGGAGCAGAAAGCAACCGAGGGGTGTGTTTGACTCGGGAAGTTTGTCCAACCACTTCTGTGATAGGGAAGCTTCCAACGAAAAAAAGGGCTCAGTTGTCCAAAGCGAATCGACAGGAAAAGTCACCTTTCCGTTTTCCCATGGCCCATTTTTAGAGGTGCCAAAAGCTGAAGCTTTTAGTTCTGGGTTCTTTGGGCTGAGGGTAACGGGTCTTTAGACTTTAACTTTTCGGTTGAAGTCAAGTCGGGTTTTCCACTAACCCGCCAAAAATGTTAAACTAAGGGTCAACAGCAACCCAGGATCTAGTGGGATGTGTTTTTGCCGGACACTCAAACTCGCCAGATTGGGAACACACCAACCAGAAGTTCGAAACAATAACCCATTTGTAAGGGTCTTTTTTAGGTGGGGTCCTTTGGAAATCAACTACTTGGGCCCCAGATTCAATTTGCTTGAGAACTGGTTTCCCTGCTGGTTGTACAGGGAATCTATTGTTACCGGAAGGATGCGTGTGTGAGTTTGTGCAGGGGGCTTCAGCAAAAGGAAGCCAGTGAGTTTCTTTTCTTGTCCCCCTTTGTTTGGTAGGGAGGTTCCTTCAAAATTCGACCAACACCGCTGCCTTTTGATCCCATAACCGCTGGTCTGGGAAAATATGGCCATAGTTCTTGGTGTGATGCGGTCATGCCTTTGGGTTACCCCACAGCGGGTCAGAACTTTATCGGAACCCATTGGTTTCCGGAGCTACAGACCAACCTCTTCCAAAGGCCTAGGTTGATAAGCCTTAGGCAAAGTGTTTTATGTCCAACCGGCATGTTCCACAGAGACCACTCTAAGAGCCCTTCGGGATGGGAATTGAGATGGGCAAAGCTCATTGCTGATGCTGAGAATCAGGCCATAGAATGATGCCATCGGATGCCACCCGAGAGCATTAGCGATTTCCCCCTGTAGCGCCCCTAAACATGGTACATGTCGATACATGATGTATTTATATATGTATATATATATAATGTATGCACACATGAACACACCGTACAGAGAACACCTAACAGTCCTTCTGCTTTCCCTTTTGCACATCCAACAGGCAGACATCAGAACTCCCAGATGACATCGGTACGGATCACGTGTCCTGAAGCAATGTCTATATGGTAAAGTTGTCCAGGAACTATCTTTGGTTTAGGGCAGACAGTTGCACGTGCATTCTTCACGGTCCGTTCAAAATGGGGGGCGTTGCTCCAAAATTATATATGAGTACGCTGGGATCATTACCCAAGACCCTCAACCAATTGGGTCATGACCTCTTAGTTTGAGATGGCCATACCGAAACAATGATGCTTATGGCCGGATATCCACCAAGATGTATGAAGCTTCTCACGCCTGTCTCTGAACGTTTAGTTTGAACACACTGCCCAATTTCACGGCCGGTCTTTGGTATGACCGAATCGCCGACATACCGAACTGGGGTTTCTTGGTGGCTCCCAGTCATCTGGTTCCTTAGCTTTTTAGCCTTTTAGTGTTTAGTGGTAGTTTCTATTTGACCCACTGCAAGTGAGTCACTTTTAGCGGGGGATCTGAGGGCATCCCAGGTTTGCACATGGCGTTTCCATCTCTGCAAAAGGTCGATCACAACCTTCTGCTCGCTCGGGGGCAAATGGAGCAGTTGATGTTGAAAGCATCATGGCCACTCCGGGGTAGTGTTCCCTCCACTAGCATGCCTATTGCCTGGAGTCTCCATAACCCTTGACAAATGGGTCAATGACCCCATTATTTTGAGTAATGACCCCATTTTCTAAGGGTCATGGAGACTCCAAGATCTTTGGACATAAGAACTATCCACAAGTGCAAGCCATTTATTGCAGCAATCTCGACACATGGGACGGCGGCAGCAAAGCTCTAGGGGTACTTCCCCATTCTTTCCAGGGATCCTTCTTTCTAGATAACCTCCGGAAATCCAGGGAAAACGGCCGGTTTTGGGAAAGAACGATGGTTGTAAAGAATCGGGAATCGACCCCCAGAAAAGCTCCTTCTCACTTTCGACCGGCAGGCAATGACCGTGACTCCGGCGCCTATCTCGCCAGCACAGATCTCAGACGTGGTTTCCCACACTTGAGCCACAATCAAAACCTGGGTAGATGAAGGTTAGTAAGGGAAAGACCCAGCCGGCAATAGTTGCGGATATCCGCCTTTCTAATTCTTGAAGCATGGTTCTGGGTTCACCATTTTTGTACCGGGTTCTGATTGTGGCTCACTTGAAACCGAGGTCTGGTTGGGCGCCTGGAGAGTACTTGAAGGGGCGATCGATTCGGTACGTCAGGTATGTGGGGAATGGCCATGGTGAGATAACAGACAAAACCATGGGTATAAGTTATAAGTTTCCGTTCAGTGAGTTACAACCAGGATTACAATCCTCTTGCTAAGTACCCTGCCCCTTTCAATCAATAATGTTGACCCCGGATGAATAAACCTGTTCTAACCTGCCCGATAAAGGGGTTCGGGGGTTGGGGGTTCTTCTTTGGGGTCGGTTGATCGTGTTCCCCTCCAAAAGTGATGAACCCCCTTCAGAGTTGTGGGAACAGACAATTCCCACCCCACTTCTGTGATACACAGTGTTTGCGAAAGGGCCCCCAATTGATCCACCACGGGTTCTTGAATCCGGGATCAATATTGTAAGGTTCCAGGGCTCGCCTCCCCTGGATTTTGTGGGAAGTTGAGTCTCTCAAGAGACCAGTATAAGGGGCCTTTTAAATGGCGAATAGTGTACTCAATTTGGTCATGACTACATCGTTTTGAAGCCCCATTCTGCCTATATATATATTTTTTTTTATTTGGGGGAGGTGTCCATTTGCAAACAGCTGGATTTGGGAAAGAGGACGCCCTGGTCTTCGAGGCTTGAGGTGTCATCTTGAAGCATCTAACTCATGGAGCACGTGGCATGTGCCTCTTTCTGGCGGGTGCCCCACAATTTGGGGTGGCTTAGGGAAGCGAAAGGGACAACCACTACTCGCTTGCCCAAAGCCGACCTTTTGACCTTTTGGCTTCCCATGTTTGGTCCATTTTTAGTAAAGGTCCCAAAAGGCGAACCTTTTATTTCTGGGTCATTCCGCCAACTGAGACTATTTTGGGGATTCCCTATTTTGAGACACACCCATGTCCCCGCAAAGCAAAAGGGATGCTTTTTAGTGCCCGCGAGTTTCACCCCTTGGATTCTGGGAGGTTCGATTCGTAGGACACCTCATGTTGCTTGCACCCCAATGAACCCGTTCCAATCGCTGGGTTCTATGAATTTGGCTACTTCCGTGGCTGAGAAGAAACACCGCCCTTTTTGGCGTTTTTGCTGTTTCAGTTCATGAACCCCTGAGGGGGCTATTGGGGGGGCTATGGGCCTTAGCCATTAGGGAATTGCAACCTGATCAAATGGGTGTGGGTCAACATTAAACCACCAGGATATGGACCACAGGTTTTAGTCCTTGTTTCCATGTACCAGGGCCAGCCATTTTGGGTACCTTCTTTCTCGACCCACAGCCAAATGACTCCTGATTAAGTGAGATGGCTTTTGGGGTGATCTTTCAGCAAGTTGGATCCATTACAAGGTGCCAGGCCGGCGTGTCTGCGGCTTAGCCTTGACGGCGGCAACCTGCTGAACCCCATCGCAGAGTTGTTTCGGATGCTTCACCCGATAGCATGAAGAAGGGGCTTCCAACTAGGATAGAATAAACTTGGCCCAGAATTCGACACATATGTTTTGTGAGCCTCGGGTTTGGACGAATGAATCTTTGGTGCCTTTTGCTTGGATGTTAGGACTTCAACATTTTGGCCAATGAATGGGTTTTCCGTATTAAACCACTAAAAGTTAGTCACTTTTAGCAGGGCTTCGCAGCTTTCGCCACCGAGTTTTCGGCAAGAAATCTAAGATCCAGGGCCTTTCACTGGGGTCCATGAGATACGCAGCAGTTGTAAAGGCCTGGGAATCCGGGAGTCCTGGTGCATGATGGTTTGCTCGTTGGGCTTTATCGCGCAGCTTTCTATTTACCTGATTTACAAGAACCGGGTCAAACCCCCAAACCAATCCAAACCACCAAGTGAGGGGCACCTGATTATATTCACTGTTTTCATCGCCGGACTGATCTTGCCTTTTTAGCTTGCTTTCCTGTGTGGGGGTTCTTTGTTGTTCCTTTCAACCAGCCAACACTTCGCTTTTTGCCTGACCCAAAGCGCCATCTCTGGGCTCTCCGTTTTGGGATGCCCTGCTAAAGGTTTGACTAACGTGTGGGTGGAATTCGGAAACCCGACTAAGACAACCAAAACCAGCTAAAAGTCTCAGGAAACGGACCTCTGCAACCACCAAGATCTCACCAACCACTGTTGAAGGGTACCCTGAAGCCCCATGAAAGGTATTAGAACCTGCGAAAAGAAAGGCCACTGTGAATCGGTTTTCGGCTCTGCTCACTTGCCAGGGCAGCAACACCTTAAAAACACGGAGAAAAAAAAACAACAAAACATGGGGCGCAAGCGCCCTTTTTTTCCGGCCCGGTCAGCTTAATTTCGGCGAGACGACGCAACCGTCTGAACCTCAGCCCGTCCTTGTAAGGCGAAATCCGCGACCTCGCCAAGCGTCATGTCCTCAATGGGAGCGCTGAGCAAGTGACCAGACCATGTCCTCTGCTGCTTAATTGGGCGATCTATTCGGTACGTCAAGTAAATGGGTAATAACCATGGTTTGGGTTTTGTCCAAAAGAGAAAGCCATTGGGCCATCCTTGCTGAATGGGGCATTGTACGACCCACAAAAGCCATGGTTCTAAGTCTTATTTCTGTCGGTATAACCAGGCTTCACCACTTACTAAGTACCCGATCGCCCTTCAAGTGGTGTGCCTGAAAGACAATGTTCTTGAATCGGACTTTGTTCAGGTTCACTTAGTGGATTTACTTTCTTACTTCCTAATGTTCTCGCTTTGTTATTTCCCTTCCTCCTAACGTTTTTACTTCGTCACTTTCTCTTACTCTTTTGAACGCCATGTTGACACCTCATGGGAACCACCAAGCAGTGGCAAGCTGATTTGGCTGAGGGCAGCACTGACTAATCGCTTGGTTGACTCATGGCTTGGTCGGGGAAAAGGCTTGGTTGGGGAATAATTATGAGTTTCATTTTGGAGGGCTCATGAGACGGAATAGAAGCAAGCCGGAGCTGCGCTTCTGTGCATGAAATAGCTGTCCCTGCTCAACCACACGCGTGCCCCATGTCATCAGAAGAACAACCTGATCAACCCACAACTGGCCCAAAACCGTTCTTGGTGTGTTTTTTTTTATTCTTTCTTTTGGCACCCGCCGTTTTGGCATATCCACAAAAGCTCGAGTCCCTTGTTGGGGTACCCCCGTGAGGGGGTGTGTTTAAGGGGCGTGGTTGGGTAGAGTCTCTGCAAAGTCATGTTGCTTATTGGCTAGGTTCAGAGCTGCTTGGGTTTGCATTGAACATTTGGCCATGATTTGTTTGAGCTGGAACCTCCAAAGTGGGTGATTGACATGAATCCCGATCAGATTTTCATGTCCAAAGGGTCCCCTTCTAAAATTTGCCACCTGATACAGCGCAAACTGGGCATCTTTTCTGCAAGGTGCCATGCCGCCGTGCCTCTGGCTCAGTGCGTCGATTTCTTGTGGCTTGAAGCGGAAGAGGTCCCATTCGAGAAAGGAAACACATTCCAAGACTGGGGTAGACTTGGGGATATATATTTTTACATTTTATCAGTGACTCAAAGTGATGCAAACCATGAAATATGCGTACATTCGATGACTGGGCCGAACTCTAATCAGGCAGAGGGTCCAAGGACTCTTTGAAGCTGGATGTTGAGAGGTTCTGCGAGATGTTAAAGTACCTAGGTGCTTGGAAATTCCGGGGACATGGTACTTTTCACTATGAGCTGCTTTTGGTTGAAATTCTAGGGACACACTTGAAGGGATCCACTAAAAAGTTGAATTCCGTGTTGGAAATCCATCGCTGCAAAGCCGCAAAGCGGATGTGTTTGGTTCCCTAGGTTGTCGAGGTCCTTCCTCCGGAACCTCTGGGAGGGTATTTGGAAGAGCAATGGAGGGAGCCTCTGTCAGGTTGGTGGGTTGGTGGGAGGGCAACTGGCCAGTCAAGATGCTGGTTTGACATGTTGAACAAATGCAGGATCTTTTCCCTTGGGGTGGTTAACCAGATTGACACTTGTAGGGTTCACTCGTCCGCATCTCCACTCGAGGCCATGAAATCGACGCCTGCGTCGCCTCAACAGAACGTGCCATCCTGAGATATCCTGAGTTGATGCACGCATGGCTTACTTCCTTTGCCAAAGTACTGCGGTCTTCCACCCTTTTTTAGGAGAAAGGGTAGTGTCAAGTTCAGATTTTCGGAGGAACATACAAGTCAGGGCTGGTTCCCCTCGAGATTCCTCTCCAGTTTTGGGAGATCCGTCCGAGATGTCCGACGGAAGTCCCTTGGAACTGGCTCCGAGAGTACTTCACGTATACTTTTGGTTGATTACCTGGACCCCCAAAGGACCGATTCCATTTTTCTGCTTTTGACCCATAAAAAAGGGGTACTTAAAGGCAAAGGTCCAGGTAAAGTTGTCAGATTTGTGTGCCAAGTCGAGTTTTCCCATGCATGGCTTTCCCATGCATTTTGTCCGAGGTGCTCCGCCGTGCTGGGGGCTCAGTGACCCTTCTGACCTTTTGACTGTGGCTCTGTGAATTTTGACAGGGAAATTGTTGGTAGACATCAGCCACAGTGAATTTTGAAGTTGATCCCGTATTAATCGACCCCAATTTATTAATAGGGGGGGTGTAGGCCCCTCCAAAGTGGTCTGATTCCCCACATTTATTCAGGGACACCCCCCTACTAATAAACTGGGCTTGATTAATTAATATGGGGTCAACATTACGCAGCCTCCCAAACGATGAACCTTGCTTTTCAGGATCTTTGGGCAGGTGAGAAATGTTGTCATGCTGAACATGATCAAACACTTGTGAGACTTTTCTCAAATAGGGCATCGGTCTCCGGTCTTATGGTAACGGTGGTCCTTTCAAACACCAAAGAAAAAAGGGGTCCAGAGGCTTGAGAAAATCCGTTGGGCGCGCGTAGACCCTCATACAAAAAAAATGATGTCCACCCAACCACTTCGACAGTGACCTTCGATTTGATACCCAGCAAAACCCATTTAGGGGGGGGATTGGCAGCATTTGGCAGCTCCGCACGAGCATGTTTTGATGCTTGTTCCACCGGAGGCACCGCCGAAAGGACATCCAACCATATATGGCAGAGATCATGGTACCCATTTCTGGCTTAACCAATGGTGAGTTGGGCGGATCGATGCCGATCCCCTCTCTTGCACCACTTGGGATGGATGAAGCCCAATGGGAAAAACCACCTACCAAGCGCAGGAGCTCCATTCACAGGCTTGCAACCTTTGTTCCCAGCAACTGTGACGATTTTTAGGGCAAAGTCTCTGGACAAAAGCCGCAACTCGATCCAGTGATCTAGGTGCCCTTTCCCCCGGGTTGTTTGGCGAAGTTGGGGCAGGTCTGGACTGTTCCTTAGGCCCAGCTGACGTCGCCTCTCGTCTCACCCTCGGCTTCTCGGTTTCTCGGTACGGGGGTACGGGGGTACGGGGGCGGGACCCATCCACGCCAAGCTCGGGGCATAGCCAAGAACCTCGAATGGTCCCAAGCCAAAAGCGGATGGATGCTTCAATTCGAGCTAACTGACCACATCTTTGGAATGTCAAAAAGTACGACATCTCTTTGTCTTCAAAGTGAGTACAAGCGGGCCATAGTGGACAATCTTGCTTTTCCAGACCCCTCTTCGCACGGCTCTCAGACCTCGTTGCACCTTCCGCAAGTTCGGAATCCGAGTCTCAAATCAAACTTTGGCCCAACAAAATGTTCAGATTGAACCTTTCCACCACATGGATGCCCAACATAAGGCGCCCCGCTTTGGATGTGTTGTTGTTTTTTACATGGAAATCAAAAGGCTGGAGGAGCAGCCGGATTTACGGGAACTCTCCCCTATACATGCAGCGCCTTGATGAATGTGGGGTCAAGATACATCGCAAGTGCATCCATACATCGGGTCTCGCTTGACAAGACAAAGAGATGCATGTTGCTTGTAACCACAGGCTCACTTGCCCAAAGCCGACCTTTTGACCTTTTGGCTTCCCATGTTTGGTCCATTTTTAGTAAAGGTCCCAAAAGGTTAACCTTTTATTTCTGGGTCATTCGGGCAACTGAGCAGGTGTCCGCATTTTTGCCCCAAATACCCTTTGCCGAGTTGCTTTAAAGGAAACCCAAAGGAGGGCTACCATTTGGGTCTGGAGCCCTCACTGATCAATGACTTGGCAAAGGACCTGCATGCGCAGCCCTTTGTGGCAGTCATTGCCCAAAGCCGAGCTTTTACGGTAATTAACCTTCTGGTTTTCCCATGTTGATGCATTTTGAGTCATGGTCCCAGAAAGTGATCGCCTCTTCTTTCCAGGTTGTTTGGGCAACTGAGACTCATTGCCACTGCGTCTTTTGGTAGCCACAATGACTGATCGTGACGGATGGTTACCAACCAAGTTTTAGCCACAAGGAGCGACCGTTTGTGGCATGTGCTTTCTTCGTTTTGCAGAGTTTCTGGTGGTGACTTCCACATTGAGACAAGAGACCCTTCAAACTGCAAAGCGCATGCCGACAGTTTCAGCACGGCATTTTGGGCATGTAAATTGCACCAATCACTGAGTGGGGGCGACACAGTATTATGTGGTTTCGCAAAAAAAGACCACAAGGGGATGGATAATTGTTTGAATTCCTTGAGCAAACCTTGGGAAGATGGATATTGCTTGATTTCTGCCAAGGGAAGGCGCAAGGACACTGGTGTAGCCCTTTTGTCTTAGTTCCCATTCGCCCTTTTGGATCTTTTGGCTCAGTTGCCCACGTTTAGAGGTTCCAAAAAGTCGGGGGTGAATTTCCAGCGCTTGTGGGCTGTTTTTTTTTTCAGGTGGCCCTGTATGGGTTTGCGTCAAAATAGGGGAACTACTGGAATGGGTTTCCGGTGGGTTTCTTTGCAACACCAAAAAGGGTACCCTACAACCACAACCCTATATGTTGACTTGCCGGATCTGTCCGTGATCATGCAACACGAGGTGAGAACAAAGGGTCAGGGGAGCTTTTTGTTTGGATGGCATCCTGGTTCTCCTTGAGCCTGCCACCTTGGGGCTCCCTTCTAGTGGAGCGCATATCGGGAGATGTCCCCCTGAAGCCATCCCGGTAAGCGCCGAAGTGAAGCAGCTTGAAATCTTGCGTGCTTTGCTTCTAGTAGTGCCCTGTTTTGGGTTGGTAAAGTTGCTCTTGTGTTTTGTGTGTTTTTGGTTTGTGTCCTTTTGGCTGTGGGGAACAAACAGAAGAGATCCAATGTGGCAGATCCGATTTTGATCAGTTTCCCGCAAGGTGAGCCACGCGCTTGAGGCCAAAGTCGACTTATCGTCGCGTATCGGGGTTCGTCATTTCTGAAAAATGTATATCTATAATATAACATATATCTATGTGTCTATATTCATATTATACATAATTTACATACATATATATATATACATAACTTATATATACATATCATATATACAGAAAATATGCATATATTTACATATACAGAAAGAATACATTATATATATATATACACGAAGGATGGTCTCCACAAGCCCCAAAACAACTACCCTCAAGGGAGATCAAAGTGTTTACCCTTTAACGGTTGTATAGAGGTTGTATACCCATGGTTCCCTTTGTGGTAGTGGTTTGTGGGTAGTGGGCACCAGGTAACTTCCTGGGCCTGAAACATGAGCATGGCGCAGCATCTGAAAATGTTGGATTCTCTGTGTACAGAAATGGGTCAACTTTTGGTTGCCGAATAAAACAGTCTTTTTTCGGGCGAAATATTTTGGGACGCCTTGGAACTCGGTGGTGCTATCAGTTTTCTCCATGGGTCTTCGCTGGGTTGATTAGTCGTTTGCTGCTTACTTGGTAGTTGCTTAGCTAGTTGGGTAGATAGATAGTTGATGATAGTTGGTTACACTGTCACTTACTTTGTGTCTTGGATAGGTGGTCAGGGGATGGCACTTTGGTTCTCATCTGAAAATTGGACAGCAACATGCCACTAGAAGTGTTCGTGTATTGGGTACGGTTTTTTTCTCGGTGGGCTCCTTGTCAACCTTAGGGTCCGGCACCTTCATAAAAAGATGTGCGATTTGTTGAAGCTAATTGGGCTATTCTCCCAAACGTGGCCAAAGGCTACCTTTCCCGTTCTTGCTGGGGATCCCTTCTCTCAAGAAAGCAACCTAAAAAAGAAAG